TACTTTTAGAGACTATAGGAACCACAAGTAGCCCTGCATTCAGAGAACGCAGTGTTCTAGAGGGGTAATAGGGTACTATGAGCTCTTTAAGATATGAAGGGGCCTGACCATGAAGAGCTTTGTAGGTGATGAGGAAGATTTTAAATTCTATTCTAAATTTTTGAATTGGGGAGTCACCAAAGTTTTACGGGGAGTCACAAGGCTTTCTTGATTTTAAGGGATGTAAGAAAACTTTAAAAATATACACAGTCTGTCTATATCTCAGCATTTGGTACTTCTGTGAAGACAAGTCAATTGTTAAGTCTAATAGAACAATGGCCAAGCTCCAGGGAAATAAAACACTGAATTTGTCATGTAAGAATCTTGAAAGATGTATCATTGTGAAATATGATCAAAAAAACATTATACAGAACTGTGTAAAAAAATTTCCTAAACAGGAAATAATCTGCTCAAGTTTTACATAAACGTCCTGTAGTTACTGAGTAATATGAAATATGTCACTGATTGAGTTTACTAAACGATTGAAAGTGGGTTTGAATACTTGTCTGTTTTGGGGATTTTTTAGGGTATTGGTTGGAGTATTTGTTTGGATATTTGTTTGTTTGATGGATTCTTTGGTTGCAGCTTGTTAATGATGTGTTTAGACTGGCAGCCAGGATGTGGTTTTGCTGTGTGTGTATGTACTGTGTATCCTGTGTTATATGTTGTATATATGATATGGTATGGTATTTTTGACTAAATACAGTTTTAAGGTAGACGTTAAGGAGTTCTGTCACTCCACAGATGCCGTGGTATAAAGGATGGAGTATCTCAAGGTCTGAAGGGAATTGTTCTGGAAAGACTCTGGTTGATGCTCTGGACAGCATCATCCCTCCTGAACGACCCACAAAGCTTCCTCTGAGGATCCCCCTGCAGGACGTCTACAAGATTGGAGGTAATTACGGTACAACTCACAGATACTTGTATGTCTCTACATGGAGAGGCAGCCCTGTGGTACTAACCCCTGTGGTTTTAGGTATCGGGACGGTGCCGGTAGGTCGGGTAGAGACAGGGATCCTGAAGCCTGGCATGGTGGTGACCTTTGCCCCTCAGCATCTGAGCTCAGAGGTGAAGACGGTGGAGATGCACCATATGTCTATGCCTGAGGCTCTGCCCGGAGACAACATAGGCTTCAATGTCAAAAACCTGTCCATCAAAGAAATTAGACGAGGGAACATAGCTGGAGACAGTAAGAACAACCCCCCGTGTGGAGCTGCCTCCTTCATTGCTCAGGTCAGTACCTGTGCGGGCTCGATTCCCCCATTGATGTCCGGGTCCACCTGGGTTACTGTCAGGTGTTCTTATTAAATCAGTAATTCTGCTGTGTGAGACTGAAAACCATTAGTGGTATTAATAAGAATTTTAGAGGAATTAATAAGTACTGTCATTAGTAGTGTCATTAATAAGCTTGTGTCTGTGCGCTCAGGTGATTGTGTTGAACCACCCTGGGGAGATCCACGCTGGTTACTCTCCGGTTACCGACTGTCACACTGCTCACATCGCCTGTAAGTTCTCTGAGCTGCTGCAGAAGATCGACCGGCGCAGCGGAAAGGTCATAGAGGAAAACCCCAAAATGATTAAAAGTGGAGATGCCTCCATTGTCCTCATGGTTCCCTCCAAACCCATGGTGGTGGAGTCCTTCTCCGAGTTCCCCCCGCTGGGTAAGTCAACACTTCATGGATTATTATTATCAATGGAATACCTAGAACTCAATCAATTCAACAAATACCATAACTCATTAATTAATATATTTTTAAAGGTCACAAATTAAATTCAAATATACAAAATCTCTCAAATGATTGTTATTATTATTATATTACATTAAAAGAGTCATTTTAGTGTAATATTTATATTCCAGTTTAAATATTCACTCTTTATCTCAGACAGAGTTTCTGAAAATATAAAACACAAAAACAGATCTGATTCAACCGTCCCCCATCAGTCTGTGGAGCTCTGGAGCCTCCATTTGGGCTTTATGGTTGTACTGCGAGTTGAGCTGCTCTCATTGGCTGCTCTTGGTTCGGAAACAATGGTGTCTCGCCTGCTCATACAGGATCTGGTATTCCAGATAAACAGTAAAATATGTTTGTGAACAGATCTGAG